TCCCTTATTAGGCCAGATTTGGCTTCATGAAAGTGGTCAGCTATACAATTGCACCTGGCCCAGCACTACAAGCTAACAAACACACTGAAATGGTTTTATCATCCTAAGGCCTCACAGCAAGTATGCTTTCTGAAAATCTAGAAAGAGGTGGTGATATTGCTTCCTAGGAGCCATCACAGACCAAATTAGACCAGCACATAGCCTTTCAAGCAGGAGGCACATCAGAACTGCATTGAATTAAATACTGCTTGGTGAACAGAAGTGCCTTTAGAAACACCAGCAACACTTTCCCTTTCTGCAGGAAAACACTCCATAGGAATGCTTGATACTGGCATTTTAAGTACACTTAGGTTTGACACGAGAAAACCACCAAACATCACTGAGTAAGAAAGTTTGATTTTTAAAAAAGCATTCAAAGAAATACACATTGCAGTAGACTATATTCAGCTTGTAAGACACAATAAGGAATGGCTTGAAATAGCTGGCTAAATACCTCCAACTTACCCCTAAAGATTTATTTGAAGGCCAAACCAGACATTACCTAAGACTAGCTGAGCTTCAGATAATGACGTAGCAATGCTTTCCTAGTATGGGCTTCAGGGACAGGGAAAGAAACAATAATGGAGATCCCATACTCCTGATTCTGGATGTTCAGAATATGGAGCTTCAGGAAAGCATCCCAGAAGCACTGAACCACACAACACAATCCACAACCCAACTAATTTTCTTTCAAGACTTTAAACAAGTAATCTATTAGGAAAAGCCTTTTCCTTAAACCTGCACTACAATATCCCTACAGAAGCATGCAAAGGAATAATTAGCCAGCATAGTGGGGAAAACCATGGAATTTTTAGTGATCTGATAAAATAATTATCTCCTAATAGGTAAACTAAGCAAGTTTGCCAAATTGGGAGGAGCTGCCGACTCCTTCAATGGCAGGGAGGCCCTGCAGAGACGCCAAGACAAGTTGGAGGGCTGGACAAATACTAAATTGAAGTTTAACAAATTCCAGATTCTGCACCTGGGGTGGGGCAACCCTGGGAGGTAAGTACAGACTGGGGAACGAGAGGCTGGAGAGCAGCCCCACAGACAGGCATGTGAGTCCCGGTTGATGGCAAGTTGAATCTGAGTCAGCAGTGCCCTGGCAGCCAGGAGGGCCAACTGTGTCCTGGGGGGCATCAGGCAAAGCATCACCAGTCGGTCGAGGGAGGGGATTGTCCTGCTCTGCTCTGCACTGGGGCGGCCTCACCTTGAATATTGTGACAATTTTGGGCACCACAATATAAGAAAGAAAGATATTGAGCTCTTAGAGAGTGTCCAAAGGAGGGCAATGAAGATGGTGAAGGGCCTTTAGAGGAAGCTGTATGAGGAGCAGCTGAGGTCACTTGGTCTGTTCAGCCTGGAGAAGAGGAGACTGCAGGGAGACCTCACTGCAGTCTACAACTTCCTCATGAGGGGAAGAGGAGGGGCAGGCACTGATCTTTTCTCTGTGGTGACCAGCGACAGGACCTGAGGGAATGGTCTGAAGTCGTGTCAGGGGAGGTTTAGGCTAGAGATGAGAAAAACATTCTTCCCCCAGAGGGTGGTTGGGCACTGGAACAGGTTCCCCAGGGATTGGTCACAGCACCAAGCCTGACAGAGTTCAAGGAGCATCTGGACAACGCTTTCAGACACATGGTATGGTTTTTGAGGCTGTCCTAGGCAAGGCCAGGACTTGGACTCAATGGTCCTTGTGGGTCCCTTCCAACTCAGCATATTCTTTGACTCTATTTTTCCCTTGAGATATTTATGCACCTCAATTACTTTATGCATTGATTAGTAAAACTCTTTTTGTAATTTTTCATATATCTGAACTTCAAAGAAAAAAATGGTTTGCTACTGTTTAAGTATGACACTATATATGGTATGCAGTATTGTATACTATAAGGGCACACTAATCTGATGACTTCTGAATGGTGATGCAATCAGATTCACTGCTTGACAATTATTTTTGTATATTTAATGGTGACATTAAAGTGTGGTGATTGTAATGGGGGGGAGTGGTAGGGGAGCTTTTCTTTTAATTTAACAGTTAAAGCTCCTGAACCACTTTTCTAGATTAATCCCACTCAAAGATACCTTCCTGAAATGTGTAGCTGGCAAATTAACACCTGACCTCATATAAAAGTCTTTTTCTTGCTTAGCTTCAAAGATCTTTCAATACCACCAGGCCAAGAAAGTTCATAATGGAATGGACTCATGAAACCTGCTGTACAGACGAAGTTTAAATTTCAGACTCAGCAGAAAACATTCACATCAAACACATAAGACCACTTCGGATCCCAGTAATAGCTTAAAAAAAGCTGTTTCAAATTCTATGTGCAAAACTACATGAGTTATTAGTGTCAGGATTACCAGAACATCAATTACCATCTGGGAAGAATTCTGCTGAAACAAAAACTTGGCAGGGAGAAGGAGGGGAGGGAGTGGGGTGGGAACAGGAGCTGTCTCCATGGTAATGTTTCATGTACAGTAAGGTACTCTGAATGACTAACTCATCACATGAACAAGATCAAGAATTGCAGAGACACTGCTCTATCTTGAAATGGTTTACAAAAATCCAAAGTATTTTGGAAATAAACTTAAAAGACCATCCTTAAAGCCTATGACAAAAAGTACTAAAGCAGTGCTCTTGATTCCTGCTCATTCACCTTCAGAGTAAAAGATCATCTCAAGGACTCTGATTCTTGACTGTAATAGCCCTAAACCAGGCCATAATCAACCAATCCACTGAGATAACACTCCACTGAGACCAAATTCTAGAGTTCCCATGTTTGGATAGGGTGAAGAGTCAGTCGCTAAAGCACAATCACAAAAGCTTTGTATAACTGTAACAGGATTCATAACTGCAGTTATACAGGCCAGTACAAAGTATCAAGACCATCATGTATTCGTCTCAATATTTTCCCATTAGCCTAGGTCCCACTGAGAGCCTCAAGGACAGGGGAGAGAGAGATGAATGCAAATCTTTACAGAAACTGTGCAAAACTAACCATGTCCCAGTGAATGACAATGGACATATTTCAGTCAACCACGCATGAAACACACAAAATGATCTGAGAAGAAAAAGCAAAATGCACGCATTCCAGAAAACAAATTATTAACAGAATAGAGAAGACCACCAGATTCTGAGCTCAGTTCAGGGGACCAGGAGAAGAAAAACCACAAAACCAACACTAAGGGCTGTGTCACTACATTATCTGTGAGGTTTTTTACCTTCCAAACCAAAAAAGGAATAGCTACACAAACAGTGCATATATTTTCATTTACAGATAAATTAGCAAAACCATATGCTGGACAAAGAAGGGCAAAGTAGCAAATTGTGTAGGTGTCACAAAACAAATTCAAGGACAAAAAAAAAAAGTGAAGCACCTTTCTTGTCACATCCCTTGTACAGACTCCATATCCCACTACTGGACTTGCTCTGCTTGTTATTTTTCTGATAAAGTACATGGTGTATCTATATTGGCTCCTTTCTTAAAGATTCAGTATCCCGGCTAACCCTGGTGTTGAAAACTCTCTCTCTCAAACTCAAGGTACTTCCCAGGGCCTTACAGATAACCAAGTGACTTCCTATACAGAATAAACAAAAACACTGAGATATACTCCAGCCTTGAAACAGGAAAACATGTTTTCATCTTCCTCTCTGTTTCCCTCCTCCCAAAGTAAGCTGACAGAACAACCAAAACTAGTCAAAACCTAAGACAAATGTTCTTGATAATTTTTGAATGTTACAGAGCAACACATAATAAAATCTAATTCAAAAGGTAAAAACCAAGTATTCAGAAACCACAATATGAAACACTGAAAGGCAGAAAAAGCATTGGCTGTAGTAAGGCAGCTTTGACCTTGAGCTACAGCTGTGGCCTGGCAAAGGAACAAGTAAAACATCATTAAGGAAGAAAAGTGTGAGAAAGGGAAAAAAACCAGTTGCAGGTAGAGGAATGTGTTTGGACATGAGAAGAGATGCTGGTGACCTGTCAGGAGACAAGACGGGGCACGTGCACGGAAGCTAGAGATCAATTAGTGATGAGATACAGATGTGTGAACAAGAACACTTAACCAGTGACATATATTATACTAGCGTGTGGACAGAGAAAAAGTAGATAAAAAGAACAAGTTTGTTTATAATAAAATCTTTTGCCATTGCCTGCCAACCTACAGTCCCAGAACATCATGCAGGCCGCCGTCACTAGTAGCAGAACACTAAGGGAAAAAACCTTAGAAAACAACCCAAATAATCAAACATAATGATTACAAACACATGCAAAGAAGACAGATGTGGTAAAACAGATCTTGAAACAAATTTCCTTTCTCTGTCAAAGACATCTCAAGTCAGTGGCTATAATATACTGAAATTACAATCTTTCACACACCCTGATCACTACCAAGGAATTGTCTGAATTTACCAACTGATAGAAGCTACACACTATGCCATATACAGCTTGTACACGTTTATAAGAATAAAACAACAGTTTAATAGCCAGTCAATTTCTAACTGTATTTTACTACAATTAAAACTTCAGAATGAAGATCATGACAGACATCTTAGGACAACTTTACTATGTATTCTTCGAAGTACTTAGCAGTCTCATTACTAGGAAGATTGTTAATGTAACTGAACTTAGCAGCATGTTTTATAACATACATAGTCATGATTGATCACAGTTATTCCACAATTTAACTGCAGTCCAACAGAGGTACGATGCTCCAGCACTTCTGGGAAGATTTGACAGGACATTTATAACGGAATACATTCTAAGGGTAAAACTACAAGTACCAAAAAGTCATCAGACTTTCTCCCCACAGAGCCTCCTGAGAGGATAAATGAGTTCTACATGATTCAACTAACTAGAAAACTGCCTAGAGGCACCAGCCTTTTATTTCTTTGAAGCTAAATAACATAAAATAAAAAAAAGCAAAATTAAGTAAAATAAACAGTCACTATCTCAAGAACTTACCTTCAGACTTCAACTTCGTGAGAACAAAAATCAGGTAGTTGTTGAAATCTGGATACTGATTGAGTTGTTCTAGTTTCTAAAGAGAGAAACTGTTAAGGAAATTTGAATCTTCAAAAAGAGCATTTATAGCTTTCGGGATACAGAGATTATTAAATGAATTATGTACTGCAATATCACTTCAACCAGCTGTGACTATAAGGTCATCAGGTACAGAGCATGAACAATCTAAAAACAGTTTCTGTAATGTTCTTGCTGATACAGTAGATTTCATGGAGACGTCTTAAAAAATCCAGGGACAGACATAGAAATTAACAGATCCTTAAAAATATTTGTAAAGTCATATCACCAAAACAGGCAGTTGAACATTACTAACAACTGTGAATTCCAACGGATCAAAAAGTATCAGAAATAAGCAGAAAGAACTGAAAGAGCAATACTTAACAGAAACTTAATGAGAAAACACTTATTTGGTCTAGGAAATGAAGACTAGCTCTTAGACCATATTTTCTTAACTTCTTCACTCACTCCACCTTTTTTTTTAATCAAAGAAACAAACAATATCTTGATTTGAAAAATATCTGTAACCTTACCAATTCATAACTTTGTTAACACTGGGTTTTGGCTAACCTATACTCCTCACTTTGTTATATTTGAGATCTAAGCATCCAAATGTGCCAAAACATCATCATAAAGAAAGCACATGACAGAATCAACATACAGAGTTTTTTGGGTTTTATTACAAAAAATTATGGCTTAGAGTACTTTAAATTTGAAAATATTAATCACCACCGTGCTTGGATATGCTACTAAGTAGCATTCTGCAACAGTCCTCACTATTTTTTGTGGAAACAGTCTCAAAGGGCTTTTTTTTTTTTAATTATGGGACATGACCTGTTAAGTTGTATCAGAACATTTTCCCAAACTAATGTATAATAATGGCAAAACTGTGCCACTTCTCTAACCTTTACAAGCCAACATATGAGGACCTCCTGGAAAACACAGGTATCAACACAGCAGGGAGTTTACAATACCATTTTAAAAGAATCTCAAACATCAGCTAACAGGACTTTGGTTCGGTCAATTTCTACCCCACTTCTACAGAGACAGCACCACTTTTACTGCACATCCCGAATACAGACTGCTATATTTCAATAAACAAACTGGATGCTATTAAGTTATTTGAAGGAGAGCTTTAAAATGCAGTTTTGCACTGAAGCTACACTAGCAACACTGTTGCAATAAACGCTTAGGTATTTCAAATACTAAACAGCACCAAGTTAAGTTTGAGGCATTATGAGAACACTCCATTGGATGCTTCTGTTTCAGATATTTCAAAGGAAGCAACTGTGTTTCAAAAATCTGAAACAAAGCTGAAAGAACAGGAGGATCGAGATGAAATCTACTTTCACCTTTCAGATAAAAAGGAAAACCTTCCTAAGCCTGACTGCATTCGCTACAAAAGTCTAGAAGTGGAGAAAATTTGGATTCAAACACTTACAATAATGTAAATATATACAGACGCACATGTTCTTACCTACTTAAATTAATTCTATTGCTTTCTGTGAAGCCCTTTAAGCAAATGCCTTATATAAAAAGGGATCAAGATGACAAACTCATATCCCTCATAGAATTTCAGCACTTTTAGATATTTCCAAGCACTTATATGGCTAGTCCAAGGAGCAGGAGACAACAAACGAGGCCTGTATTTTTTAATACCTTTTTAAGGTCTATTAGTCTTAATTTAAAATTTTGCTTTCTCAATCCTCGCTTCTTAAAATCTATTCATCACTTTTACAATCAAGAGAGACCTGGAGGTGGGGAAGGAAGGAGAAGTAAAATATCCCAGCAACTCACAACACTAACACCAAATGCACTGCAAAGCAGCACAAGAAGCTACAGTGAGTACATCTCCCCCTTTTCGTGAATTTTAACATCTGCAATGAGCAGTATTTCAGGATTGGGCTTCTAGGTAAGCAGAAACATCCTCACCACGTACCAAAATGCGCAGTGTCAGAGACGGCAGGACCATGACGGCGCGCAGGCAGCAGCTCCGCCAGCTACGGCTTTCGCCTCAAATCCCAGCGCCGGAATCCTACGGGAACCCCCTGCCCGCCCCCCCGTGCCGCAAGGGTGGCGGGCACCGCGCGCGGGTCACCCCCGGCCCCCCGGGGGGACCAGAAGGGCGAGGGCCGCGTTCCCGCCCCGCAGCGCTGGGGGCTGGGCGCTGGCGGCGGCGCAGCGTGGGCAACCCGGGAGAACAGCGGATACCGGCAGAGCCGCGCCAGAGCCCGGGCTTTGAAAACGGGAGGGGGAAATTTAAAATACTCCCCCGACGGCCAAACCCAACTCGGCCTATGGCTCCGGACTCGCAACAGGTGCCCAGTGATTGCCAGCGGAAGGCGGCCCCGCGGCCCACAAGCCGCCTCGGCGGTTCAAACGCCGCGCCACGGCCGCCCGCTCCGGCGAGGGCTCGGCCCCCGCGCTGCGGTGGCTCCCTGGGCAGGGCAGGGCAAGGCACAGCAGGCCCGGCCGCCGCAGCGCTGGCCCTGCTGCCGCGCAGGCCGCGCTCCCCCCGCCCGCCCGCGGCCGCCCCCGGCCCCCGCCCGCGCGGCCCCGCAAACCTCGGCCAAGGATACTTGTTGCACGGCTCTCTGCGTGGTGGTGTCCGGGGACTGGGACTCTTTGAGCAGCTGCAGGATCTGCTGGAGACCCTGCTCGTCGGGCTTCCACTCGTACTCCATCTTGACTGTCTGGAAAACAGCAGACAACAGGCGGCCGCGGTTGGCGGCGCGGCAGGGCCCGGGCGGAGGCGGGCGCAGAGGAAGGAAGGCCGGGCCAGAAAGGGGGCGCGGCGATGCCCGGGCCGCTTCGGCTCTCACCCTCCAAGCGCCCCAACAGCCGCCAGCCAGCGGGCCGCAGGACACCGACCTGCTCCCGCTGTCTCCACGCCGAGCAGTGACTGAGTCACGGCGAATTTGTGATCCGGCCCGAAGAGCCGCCTCGCGTCCTGCTGGGTCCTAGCGCCGGGCACGCCTCCGCCCGCCCGGGCCGCCCCGGGGCCGCCGGCACCACCGTCCGCCTTTCCCCGGTGCGTCCCACACTGCCAGGAGCCTGCGGGCGACAGAACGCGAGCCCCTCAATCCTGGCCGGTGGGAAACGGGGCGCCCACGCCGCACCACCCGAGAACAGACAAAAACCTCCAGCAGACGCGACAGGCGGGGGGCGAAGCGGCGCCCCAGGCCTGGCCTAGCCTGGCCCCCTGGGACAGCGCCCGGCAGCGAGCGCGGAGGGTCCCGCCCACCCTCGGAGGAGAAGCGCTGGCACGAAGGCAGACCCAGGAGTCAGTAACGTGGTACCTGCGTTGCTGCCTGATGCACTTCTACGTCATTTGGTTGAGTGCTGAGCAGATCTCAGAAGTTCCCAGTTTCACTTGTAAGGAGGGAACAGGTCCAACTACGCGGGGGGGGGGGTTGGGGCTGGGGTGTGCAAACTCAAAAGAAACTACATCTTATCCTTAGCCTCAAAATATATCAGGGGAGATCTCTGGTCAAAATTAGCAATTTAGATAGATAGATATATATATACATACACACACACATATGTATATATGTAATATGTATGCATCACATACATTGTATGTATATAGCTATTTTTATGTATCATACATATACTAATAGGAAAACTAAGAACACATGCTGCTTAAAACTGGTCTAAAACGTGCAAGTGTAAACCAGTAATTCCTTGGCTTTTTACAATCTTACTTTTAGTCACTGTATTTGTAAGCATCCCACTTGACATGAAAACGAGTTTCTGCTGCTTCTGCTGCTGTACAGAACTCAGGTGAACACTGCACATCCCAGTCTTAATAACTGTCCAGAGGCATTACGGTCAGGGAACAATAGTGATTCCTAAGGGTGCATCCCAGATAATTTGCAAAGTGGCTCTTTGTCTCATCTCCCCAACACTGACAGTCACCTGGCCAGTCTAAGATGCTAAGAAGTGTCCTGAGCCAACCTTCCTTCTATTACTATGAGATGCTATTCTTGAAGAAGGAGACAAAACCAGACTCCAACAAAACAGCAAAAGGAACCATCACGGGCAACAAGACAGTAGTGTATATACACGTATGTACATGTATGTATGTATATGTACTTACACAGTGAAAGAGGGTATTTGATAAATGAGGAAAGTATGCACAGTGGAAAAAGAAGTAAAGTACACAGAGAAGTATGCTGCACAGTATACAAGATAAAACCAATGGAGAGAACAAAAACAGCTTATGAAAAAAAACCAAGAAATAGGCTACACTTCTTAACCTCTTCTATGTAAACAACTGCTGTAGTTACCACAGGATTTTTTCAGAGACAAACTACAAAAGCAGCACAGCTCTTGAGAGTTTACAGTACTTAAACAAGATGGAATCAGCAAGGTAGCTACATAAAGGCATGCCACCAGTTACCAGGAAAGAATGGGCACAAGATTTACATGAGATTTTTGTGACCACACTAAATCTCCACTAGTTTTCCTCTAGCATAGGAACATGTCAAAACAAAGGATGTGGACCCATACCATTAACATTGATGTTCACGGCTCACACCATATGGGCAGGAGACATCTTCATAGGGATGCTTGCATAGCGGGATCAGATGAAAGCTGAAGTCCAACAAATCAAGGCAGAGATAATTGAGGCCTCATTTCCCTAATGAGGGAAATGCTGCCTTACCAGGAAGGTTGTTGAAACTTGCTTTTATTTGAGACTGTCAAGTTTGTTTGAACTTGGTTAGAGCTTCAGAAGTTACTACTCAGAAATTGACGCAAGGACTACATTTGTCTAATATTATCAGGAAACCAGTCTTGTTAAACAAAAACAACATTAAATATGGGAAAGAGGGGAAGAGACCAGAAAGGAAAACTGAGAGACAGAACAGGAAAAAGCAGAAAGAGAAGCAGGCCATGGATCCATAACTAAGAAAAATGTAAGTTTCCTTTCCAAGAATGTAACCAAAATTAAATCCTACTAACAATTTCCATTTTCTGCAGTGGAAAGGAGAGAAAAAGGACTACAAATTCAAGTATGAATGGGAGCTTCTACAATTAGTAGAGACATGTAAGTACTTTAGACTATCATCCTCCAAGATAGGTTCCTCCTCAGGTTACATATAGGTACCATATAAAGAAAACAAAGGAGTACACCTCATCTTGCAGAATACCTTCTTATCTTGGTAATTTCTCCTAAGTTATTCTTACCTATCTCTAGCCCTTTAAATTATATAAGGAATCAGGATAAGGTAAAATAATTTGACTGAGACAAGAAAAAAATGCAGATTGAAAGGATTACAGGAAAAAAATGAGAAACCCATTTATTTCAGTATGCTTTGCCTCTTTGTTTTCTACTATCTGTTTTCCTCAAGCAAGAATCTTGTGTAGAAAAGAATTCAGAATCTATGTTAAACAAAGCACCAGCACGAAAGCTACTGTTTAAAACATAGCCTGGTTTGTCCCACTCAACAAGCAGAATGCACCAGAACTAAATTTGAAACACTTATCCGTATATGTAAGGATGACAAAAGTTCTCTGAAAACAGGAGCCTTGCACAAATGCTGATGCTAATATTTGATTTCTCTATTATCCAGCTTTCAGATGTCATACACTAGCCAGAATCCAGTTTCAGTCACTTTACCCTTTAGAAAAATTTTCTCAGTCTTTAGTTTTACCCTATTGGTAATACTGGATTTCTGATGTTTTTGGGTTTGTTTTTTTTTTTTCTGAGAATTCTAATAGCTACCATCTTGTCATAAAATTCAGGCCCTGATGCATGTAATATTGGTTTTTAACAATGGTAATCAAACATTTGATCCATTGCTAAATCCAGGCTTCTGAGTTTCCATGCAGTGGAAAGCGCTTATAGTGTCTCTCTGTATAGAAGGCTCAAATTACTGGGGTATTACTCTGCTCTCCATTGCTGGCAAAATCCTGGCAAGAATACTCTTGAACAGACTCATACCCGCTATAGCAGAAGGAATTCTACCTGAAAGCCAATGTGGTTTCAGAGCCAACAGGAGCACCACAGACATGGTGTTTGTTCTCAGACAACTGCAAGAGAAGTGTAGGGAACAGAACAAAGGTCTCTATGTAACCTTTGCTGACCTCACCAAGGCTTTCGATACGGTGAGCAGAAAAGGTCTATGGCAGATTTTGGAATGTTTAGGTTGTCCCCCCAAGTTCCTTAAAATGATCATCTCACTCCATGAGGATCAACACGGCCAAGTCAGATATGGCAATGTACTTTCTGAGCCCTTTCTAATAACTAATGGTGTGAAACAAGGCTGCCTTCTTGCACCAGCCCTATTCACACTCTTTTTCAGCATGATGCTCCAAAGGGCCACAGCAGACCTCAATGATCAGGACGGTATCTACATCCAATACCGTACTGATGGAAGCCTATTCAACCTAAGGCGACTGAAGGCCCACACCAAGACCTTAAACCATCTTGTCCAGGAGCTGCTTTATGCTGATGACACCGCCCTTGTCGCCCACACAGAAGCAGCTCTGCAGCGTTTAACATTCTGCTTCACAGACGCTGCTGAGCTCTTTGGGCTGGAAGTCAGCTTAAAGAAGACAGAAGTTCTCCATCAACCTGCACTTCAGGAAATCCCCCATCATCCCCATATCACCATTGGTGAATCAGAGCTCAAATCAGTCCAGCAGTTTAATTACCTAGGTAGCCTCATCTCCTCGGATGGTAAGATTGATGGAGAGATAGACAACAGGTTAGCAAAGGCATATAGTGCTTTTGGAAAGCTTCATAAAAGAGTTTGGCAAAATAAACACCTGAAGAAACGTACAAAGATCAGTGTTTACAGAGCCATAGTGCTGTCTGCTCTCTTATATGGATCCGAATCATGGGTCATCTACCGCCACCACCTGCGTCTCCTAGAACGCTTCCATCAACGCTGCCTCTGTACAATCCTAAATATCCACTGGTCAGATTATGTGACCAATACATCTGTTCTAGAACAAGCAGCAGTCACAAGTATTGAGGCCATGTTGCTGAGAACACAGCTGCGCTGGGCAGGGCACGTCTCAAGGATGAAGGACCACCGCCTCCCTAAGATCTTGCTTTATGGTGAACTTGCCACCGGCTACCGCAAGAGATGAGCCCCGAAGAAAAGATACAAGGACTCCCTGAAACAACATCTCAGCCTTGGCCAGATTGATCAGCATAACTGGTCTACTCTGGCCTCCAATCGGGAGGTCTGGAGACACACCATCTATAACACTGCTGATGCCTTTGAGAAAGCACGCAGGATCACTCTCGAGGGGAAAAGACAACGCAGAAAGAATTGTGCCCTGCAGAATATACCACCTAAGGAGTCTTTCTGCTGTGCCTTTTCCAATCGGCCTTTTTAGCCAGCAACGTGCTTGCAACAAACGTGGGTAGAGACCTTTCCCAAATCTTCGTTCGCAAAGCCCAGCCATGATGTATAGAAGGCTTGTATGCACAGAGGAAATAATTCCATAGCTTTGTGTGTAAACCCTTTTATGTTGGGCTAAGAGTGATGTAGATTAAGTTAAGCAGAAAAAAAGCTCTCGTAATACAGAATACATGTCTTTGTGAAGGAGCTCATGCAGAATAGCTACTGCTATACTATTTTCCAGTGCCTTCCATCTGGAGACATGCACTAAGCTTTCACTTAAAAAGCAGTGGTAGTCCTCACATCTAGCATATCAAAGGAGAATCCATTCTAAAACATTTGGTGCAGTCTTTCTGAGTTCAGCCATAGGATACAAGATTAATATTTATCACAAGAAGATTTATTTGAATAGTCTTAGGAAGGAGAGAGTTTGACCCTGTGAAGCACCAGAGAGGTTACCAAGGAGACTGATAGAAAAACATCTTGAAAGGCTTTTTGTCCATGACTGCAACATCTATGAAATTAGTTTTCTACTTTTCCAGAGCTATAGTTATTTCATTTCCACAGCTAGAGACACCAAGTGGAAAAATAGCTTGCTGCTAATGATTTGCCCCATTGTAATCACACATGCTGGATACTAAAATGGCAGTACATGCTCCTAATGCTGGGAGCCATAAAACAATCTAAAACTGAATG